GCTGTCACGAGGCTAGATGCATGGTGGTGTAAAGACCAAAAAACAGAGTTGTCGACAGTTTCCTCTAATGAGGTGACATGGATATGTCAGTGTCAAAAATAGCTGTGAATAATTTCAAATAAAGATAATTTCTCTTCTAGACAGAAAGTCCCTGCTTGTAAGTGTGGCTCAGAGAGTGGTATTGGGTGGGCATTAGCAGGGGTCAGGGGGTTGAAGTGCTCAGAAAATCTTCATAGAACAGGCAAAGTTCCCAAGCACTGTGGTGGTGGCAGGTTCCCTGCAGCCCTTCCTCACACCCTGTGTTTTCTTTAGCTGGCCAGTTATCGACAGACGACTTAAATTCTCTCATTGCACATGCCCATCGTCGCATCGACCAGTTAAACAAGGAGCTGGCGGAGCAGCGAGTGAGGGAACAGCAGCACATCGAGTCGGCCCTGGAGAAGCAGAAACTTGAAGATAAAAAAACATTTGAGGCAGCTGTGGCCAAAGCACTGGAGCATCACAAAAGTGAGATTGAAATAGAACAGGAGAAAAAGGTAAAGTGGTGTAATGAACCTGGTTGCATCTCTGGCTCAAAAAGGATGTAGAAGAGGTGGAGGATGCACAGGGGAGCAACCAGCATGTTGTGAGTGACGGGAGACTTCAGACAGGGCAAGCCTCAGGCTAAGTGTGGCAGGAGATGTTGAACAAGGAAACTTCTGCAGAAGAGTCAGAATGATAAAATCATACAGTCGAACAGGGAGTGACTTTTTCATGTTCCTGTCTGCCGTCAGCGGTAGGATTACTGGGCCAGAATAAATGTTTGATCTGGCCCAGGATGGCCATCTCAGGGCTGTGTAGCCCCTCTGTCCTGCCTCTAGGAGGTATCTTCCATGTCGTTCCACTCTTTGGCAGTGGTTTGGGATTGGATTTTGTTAAGACCACAAAACACTTCAGAATTTTAATGCTGCTCTGAATACGAAGCAAGTGCAGCTTACGGTAGTAATTGGGGCAGCGGAGGTTTTATCTTTTGAGATACCATACTGCAGGCAGACACTTGTGCCAAATACTCCTGCTGTTTTCACATACCTGCCTCTGAAAATGGCCATTAATTGAAAAATTTGCATCAATGGGGGAATGAAGGATTTCACCTACAGGCTGTTAGTTCAAAGCGTTGCAGTAGCAGGTATTAGAGCTCTTTAAAGTTGCTTCAACTAATCTTCGCATTTAATGGGAGGTTAGAAATGACACAAGCATTTAAAAAGAAAAATCCCAGAAAACCAAAAACTGTTCAACTGCTCCTAAATAAACTTGCAGCAGGGGCTCAGAGACTGCTGCTTCTCCTAACAGCAAGAGGCTTCTGAGCTGGTGAGACCAGGAACAAAACCTCTGCAAAAGTCAGTGGGGAGAAGCAGAAAGACTCAGGTTGGGGCAGACTGTGCCCTACGGATTGATGTGGGAGGGCAGTGAATTTGCTGGCAGTGATCTGGCAGAGCATGTGGGGTCTGTCTTGGGGATCTCCCAGGCTGATGCTGGGAAACCTTGTTCCTGGGGACATGTTTAGCATGTCCACGTGCTCACAGTCTGCATCAGAGCCCGGCCAGGAAAGCGTCAGCTGCGCGCAGCAGCCTGGCTCCTCATCCCCCGCCCAGGTCCTAGAAGTTCCCCCCTCAATCATCACCCAAGTCCGGAATGAGTGCCCCTGCCATGGGGTTTGGTTTCTAGGGGTAGGTGCTTTCTGCCACGGGGCTTTCCACACCCTACAGGAGTCATCAGCTAAAGCTGAGACAAAACAGAAGTCGCCTAAGCCAGTGTCTTGCAAGGCGACGTGAAGTCGAGCTTTCAGTGATGCAGCGATGGGTGTAGATAGGGCTGGGGGGTCTCCCAGAAAGCTAAGCTAGTGACTGATGAAACCTAAACATATTCCCCTGGTCCTCTCCCTCAGGGACTTGGTTGCTTCTGGGTATTTTGCCTTTTGAAAGGTTTAGTGTGAGGAGTAATTGCCTGTAACTAATGAGACCAAGAGTATTCTCTTAAAGTGGCTGGTTTAATACAAGATCAGGTAAAGGGGGTATCACTGTTTTATTAAACTCTAACTCAGTATTACAGCACACAGGGAAAAGGTGAAGTCTGTTACGTTTGGAAGCTGGTTTATAAACAAGTGTTTAGTTTGACATTACTGTATTTTTTTTATATAATATTTTGATAACAGCACTAAATGCCTAGGAACCACCAGTTACAGGCCTTGTGGACTGTGAAGCTATTCCAGCACCTTGAGGAAAAGGTTCATCTGTAAAAAAAAAAAAAAGGACCTCAGCAGCTTTTTATGATGAAACTGGTTTTGTCCATGCCACTTCTGTAAAATGTACCCTGAGTAATCACTGATAGATGAGATAGTTACAGTGTGTGACAAACAACTGAAAAAAAGCGGTATAGTAACAGCTGCTCGTGTGTGACTGAGCGGTGTAGTAACAGCTGCTCGTGTGTGTACAGGTTGAAGAAGTCCGAGAGGTGATGGAGAGTGAAATGAGGACCCAGCTCCGGCGGCAGGCTGCGGCCCACACAGACCATCTGAGAGATGTTCTTAAGATCCAGGAGCAGGAACTAAAGGTGGAATTTGAGCAGGTGAGGGAGAGGAGTCCCCAGGGGCATCGGGGGGATGTTTGAACCCTTGGAAAGCACATGCTTCACAGGACAAGACATGCTTCCAGGAGACTGAAACGAGGGCTGGGGAGGGAGGCCTGCTCATCTTGGAGAGAAGAAATACAGTGCCTGAACACAGGGTTTGTTCAGACTGGTATTAAAAGCTTTTACTATAGGTGAGAAATTTTTAACAGTTACAAGTGCAGTAACTGTTAAATTTGCCCTAATAAGGCTTCCTACTAATATATTATATTTACTATATGCATTATCCCTAGCAAGAACAATAGATTTATAGAAATGTCTTAAGATAAAGATAATTAAACAGCTGTTTCTGGTCTGATATATCTGTATCTTGCTCCATTTCAGAACTTATCAGAGAAACTAAGTGAACAAGAAATGCAATTCCGACGCCTTACTCAGGAACAGCTTGATAACTTCACGCTGGATATAAACACTGCCTACGCCAGGCTGAAGGGAATTGAGCAAGCAGTCAAGAGTGAGCACTGAAACCACATTTCTTTAAGGACTAAAGTTGTGATTCAAGGCCCATTACCCAAACCTGAGCCCTTTAGGCACGTAGCTCACGGGCCTGGGTTTGCCACCCTGCTGAGCAGCCCACAAATCCCAGCTGCATGAGGCCAAAGCTCTTGTCTTGTTCCGACCCTGAGTTGTGGAACAGACTTGATTTAAGATCAAGTGCCAAGGGGGTGGCTGCTTTTGAAAACAAGTGTTTTGAGGGATGGCTTTTGCTGTTTGTATTCAAAACTTCCCCTACGCCTTGCCCCCATCTCAGAGTCCCCTTCTTGGCTTGTTTTGCAGGTCACGCAGTGGCAGAAGAGGAAGCCAGAAAGGCCCATCAGCTGTGGCTTTCTGTTGAAGCACTCAAATATTGCATGAAAACAGCCTCGGGGGACAGTCCCACCGAACCACTGGAGAGCGCGGTGAAGGCCATCAAAGCCAGTTGTTCCGACAACGCGTTTACAGAAGCCTTGACAGCAGCTCTCCCTCAGGAGTCCCTGACGCGGGGGGTGTACAGCGAGGAGGCCCTCAGAACCCGTTTCTACACAGTCCAAAAACTGGCAAAAAGAGTAGCTATGATTGACGAAACGAGAAACAGCCTCTATCAATACTTCCTGTCTTACCTGCAGTCGCTGCTTTTGTTTCATCCTCAACAACTGAAGCCACCTGCCGAGCTCAGCCCCGACGACCTCGATACGTTTAAATTACTGTCTTACGCCTCGTACTGCATTGAACACGGAGATCTGGAGCTGGCGGCGAAATTCGTCAACCAGTTACGAGGAGAGTCCAGGAGGGTGGCACACGACTGGCTGACTGAAGCTCGGATGACCCTAGAAACAAAACAGATCGTGGAGATCTTGACAGCTTACGCCAGTGCTGTGGGGTTAGGAACAACTCAAGTGCAGTGAGCAAGGAGTGTAGTTCTGGAGGCAGTTCAGTAATCAGTTGTGCTGGAAAGAAACCCCGTGATCTCCCAAGGGTTGCAAACCAAGCTGCTGGCAGGGGCTGGGCGTTGCTAAGTCAAAGTACCGGTACTGTCCCGGGTCCTTGCACTGTATTTAACTTCCCCACCTGTTGTATTTGTATGGGTTTTGAGTTATGACAACCAACTTCAGGAAGCTTCTCTACAATTTGTGTAATAATTTTGTTTCCCCATCTTACCAAGCAGGCTTGTGCTCCAACCAACATCATGTTTGTAACCTACCATTACTGATTTGCCACTTTGTCAGCTGAATAAAACAAGACTTCAACCACTCTCTCCTGCTGTTCAGTCTCTTACTTAAAAGTCACATACAAGAACAGCCTTTCTCCACAACCTGAGGAAGACCAAACTTACATTTTACTCCTTTCAGGGAGCAGGAATTCATTGATGTGATCAATGTGTCCATTTGTCAATTTGTACAGCTGTAAAAAAATCCAGCTATGCATATAGGTTGAAGTGGGCATAACTTTCTTGTCAGACCTGCTCTTCTAGCAGTTTTAGCAGACCAGGTATCTGTGTCTCTAAGCCACACTCTGGTTCAACCATGAGAACTCAAATTAAGATCAAGCTCCTTCCTTCCTTCTCTCACCTTTCCCTTAATTCTCACCATCAGTGAGGAGAGACTGACCAAACTTCCTTAGTCCTCACTTGCCAAAATGAGTAACTGTGGCTTTGTCTCCTTGCTGATCCAGTTTCAGAGTGTTGGTACAATAAAGCAGGAGTGTATCGCCACCCCCAAAGCCCTTTATCTTTAGTCTAACCCTTAAGCTGTGCTGCTCACACATTCCCAGAAGAGACACACTCACTTTCTGGAGCTGCAGCCCCACTGCTGCTGTAGTATGAGGAACACTTGACTCTCGGCCTTCCAGCTGTAGTTTGTTCCAGCTGTAGTTTGTTCCACCTCCAGCAGCTGTTGTTTGCCAAACTCATAACTGATTTATCCTTAAGCTGCATTCCACAGCAGTGTGCTCTTACTCCTCCCCATTGTGCACATCAAGGTTTTATTTTTCACAAAGAGAATAATCTATTAACTACTTTTCCCTGGAATATGGTGTAATTGTCTAAGGAACAAGACCGTTGTTTGCTTGTTCAAGATAACTACCTCAAAAGCATCCTCAAGCTTCCTGTTCCAGCTGAGCCCAGCAGCACAATGCTGTGAGGCCAAGAGCCATCCCTCTCCCCTCATTAGCTTGATTGCTGTATTCTCTATGAACTTTACTGACTCTCTCACAGAGCAGCTGCAACACTTTGTAATCACTTTCTGCTTAGGGATTATCAGAAGATGGCCCCATTTCAGGTCAGCTCTTTATTATATGCAGTCTCCAGCTGTACAAATTGTAGCCTTTTAACACCCACAGTCCAAAGTCTGTCCCAATATGATGGTAAGTAACACCACAGGTGATGAGTATTATATTACAGCATTTACATACAGAGTAAACTTGGTATTCAAGTTAGCAGGGAAGGAATTAAATCCAGAGCAGGTTTATGTTGCAGAAGGTCCAACAGAAGTCTTGCTCAAGCTGTCAAGGTCTTGCAGGTGGCTGCGCAGCCTCGAGGAAGCAGCCCTCGGCTCCCTGCTGCCTGGCCAGAGCCAGCTCCTGCAGGTAGTGGTGCAGAAGACACTGTGTTGGTGCAGCCCCCCTGCGTTTGAAGTTACCCAGCAGCGTAAACAGGACAGCTTCCCACTTGCTCCAAGGAGGAGAAGCAGGTCTGGTATCGGCACACCCTGGAGCACTCTGCCATGCTGCAGCACCTCCCTGAAGCTGGAATTTCACTTCTGACAGGACCTCCTGGTGCCAAGTTCTCCGAGGGGCAGGGAAGAGGGACAGCTAGTCACGGTCACTGTCACTGTCGCTGCTGTCGCTGTCTGACTTGATGCTCTCTAGTGTCTTCCTGCAGATACAAAACAGTCCAGTAATCAGTCATCACCTGTTGTGACTTTTGCTTGAAAAGAGAAGAGTAAAAACACAAGGTAAACCCCTCAGAGACATTATGGGCTGTCTGATGCCCATTATCCTTGAGGACAGGTCCACCCAGCAGTTGGTAGAACACACCCACCTCCTTATGGAAAAGCAGACAAGTCCAGTTACCCAGACAGTGGTGGTCCAGCTGTCAGAGCTGCTGCAACTCTGATCTATTGACTCCCTTGGACTAGACCAGTGGTTCCAAACTGGTCCCCCAAGGCTAAGTCCATCGTCTGAGCTTGACTGCATCAGCCCAGAAACAAGCTATAGTGGCTGGTGAGATGTCCTGAAGGTTGACCATGAACCTCAGAACCTTGTGCAACATGTGCATGGGCCATCCTGTAGCACTTCCCTGCTTTTAGAGCCTGAAATCGGCATCTTTAGGAAAAGACTCTGGGAAAGAAGAGTGATAGCAGAGCTGAGAGGTGGACAAGGCTAACCCCAGCATGGAGATCACCTTCCCTCCCAGGTGGGATGGATGCAGCACGGTATCAAAAACTCAGGGGTTATTCTGGGCGTGTGACTCAACCAGAGTCAACACAAGGGCACGTCATTCTGGGGCCAGTTCTCTGCAGGAATTACCCCTCCACCGCCCTGTACTATACCCCTCCAGCAGAAACATGAAATTCTTCAACTTACTTCTGTTTTTCAGAGAGTTCAAATTCCTTCTCCGTTCTGCTTTTAAGCCTTTGAGATGAAGGAAGGTCGAGGGATGCTGCCAGCTTTACCAGCTTAATTGCCTCATCTGGACAATTGGTTTGTTTAGCACAGTTGAAGAACTCATTCATCACCTGTTCACTGCAAAAACAAAGGCAAAGAGTGACTGTTCACAGGGTCCCAGGTGAAGTGGCCATTAACTTAAGATTCTCTGGTCAGTCAACCAGGCTACTTCTGCGCCTGCCAGAAATTCCACCTCGGCCTTCACCCTGTACTGACATGGTGCACTTGGGAACTTCTATCCTAGCAGAATGCAGTACTTCTTGCACAAAACCAGAATGCAACAGCTCACTGCTCAGGATAAGGATCCCACCTTACCAGCAGTCTAAATAACCTTCCCTTCTTTAGAGTCCCCAGATTGGCCCTTGCCCTCTTTCAGGTGGCTAGCAGAGGTAAAGGAACAGTATGACAGCACATTAAATCAAAGGCAGGCGTCTCACTGCCAGAGGCAGCTCTGCTGACAGCTGGCTGGACAGGAGCCAGCAGTGTGCCCAGGTGGCCAAGGCGGCCAATGGCATCCTGACTTATATTAGGAACACCATGGCCAGCAGGGACAGGGAAGGGATCTGACCCCTGTACTTGGCACTGGTGAGACCTTGATGACTGTGTTCAGTTTTGGGCCCCTCACTACAAAAAGGCCACTGAATGACTCGAGCGTGTCCAGAGAAGGGCAACGGAGCTGGGGCAGGGTCTGGAGCACAGGTCTGCTGGGGAGCGGCTGAGGGAACTGGGGGGGTTCAGTCTGGAGAAGAGGAGGCTGAGGGGAGACCTCATCGCCCTCTACAGCTCCCTGACAGGAGGGTGCAGAGAAGGGGGATGACTCTCTTCAAGTAGTAGGCGACAGAACAAGAGGGAATGGCCTCAAGTTGCACCAGGGAAGGTTTAGACTGGATATTAGGAAGCATTTCTTTGCAGAAGCGGTTGATGGGCATTGGAATGGGCTGCCCAGGGAGGTGGTGGAGTCCCCATCCCTGGAGGGGTTTAAGAGTCGGGTTGACCCAGCGCTGAGGGATCTGGTGTAGTTGGGAACTGTCAGATTAATGACTGGACTGGATTATCTTCAAGGTCTTTTCCAACCTAGATGATTCTGTGATTCTGTGCTCTGCCAGCTCCATTTCGTGTCCAAGCGCTGGCTCTGCTCCTCTGTCACCTGGGGCAGCTGCTGGAGACACCTCTCTTGCCTTTTGGCAGGGAAACAATAAGTGGCTGCAGCTGGTGCTGCAGGGAGCATAGCAGAGCGGGGAAGGCATGGGACAGTTCAGCCAGAAGAGCCTCTGATCCATTTAGTAACAGCAGGGAAATCACTTTTCTTTACAGTCACAACCCACGGCAGCCACAAACCACCAGCTAAACCATGATTTCAGAATGAGAACTCTCCTCCTTTCCCCCTTCCCCAAATGAAGATGTGCTCTGACACAGCTTGGCAGTGTCAAGGCTTCCCCTCGGGCCACAGCCACGGCACTCTGCAGAAACAGGCATGCACAGTGCCACAAACAGTGGCCTTTGGTACTGCACACCCTCACGGTGTTCACTTAAGTGAGCTCCAAGGATTCAATTTTATTTAACACCCTCCCCTCAAACAAAACATGAAAACATGCTACTATTCCTTAGGATTTGTTTTCTACTTCTAACAGAGTTTTTCCCAAAAAATCCTGAGAAAAGCCTAACAGTGTACCATGTAAGATTTAGGACTGGACTTGATAAACTTCTCTTTAGAACTCCAGATATGTCAGAAGCACCCATGCTTGGTTAGTCACTTATTGGAACTTTTTTAAGCACATGGGAAATGCAGGAATCTCTCTTAAGAGTCCTGCTTAGACTGACTCCTAAGGCCGAGTTCATCAGTGGCACTGCCCTCCATGTCCCAGAGCTTCATTCAGTGACATCTGAAGGATCAATCACTTAAACCCACCTTTGCATTTTCGACATTTTTTGAGACAGAAAAGTCTTGGAATATATCAGTTGGATAAACAAACCCTTGTGCTCACAGGGACACACACACACAGACTCACAGTTTGGCACTAACAGTAGCATACAGACCACTGCTGCCAGTTAAACTGGGGTTTGGACTGAGTGACCTTTAAAGGTTCCTTCCAACCCAAACTGTTTTATGATTCTAGAGCAGAAATGCAAGATCTCAGACGAAGAGGAGACTCAGTACCTGAAGTCAGAACCTAGAAGTACTCACGTGGGAATCCTATTGATTTGCTGGAGACGCTCTATCATGTTCCTGTTCAAAAGAAAAAATAATAATAATTTTAAAAACTCCCACCAAAGCCCACAGGAAACAAAAGATATTAAATCTCTTGGGTAAGCTCCTGTTGAAACACAGGCAGGCTCAAATTCATGAAACAATCTTCCTCACAGATCTCAACCAGATCCCATGCTGCATTCTCGCAGATGCAACGTGCAGCAGCTAACACATTGATCAGTTTAACACAAAATACCTTAACTAGTGCAGAAAAAATAAAAAGTGTAGCTGGTGTCAAGTTTGCCTTAAAATATTACACATTTTTAGAAGGGTACTTGCCACTTGATTTCAAATGAATCAGTGCGAAGAGAACATCTGTATTTAACAGAAAATAGCTCAGAACCTTAAATCGGAGGCGAGATATTTTGAACAGTATTTCAAGTTCAGAGTATGCAGGACGGGAAATTCTAGCTACAGTACATTTTAGCTACTGGAGAGTTCTAAAAATATTCCCTTCAGAGTTTTAATTAGGGTTATTTCTAATTAAAAGTTTAATTAAACTCTAATTAACATCTTTAGCGGTTTGAATTCCAAAGAGTTCTAAACTTTAGAAAATGGGAAGCTGAAGGAAATCAGCAGTGCTTAGTGAAGTGATAATCAAACCCTACTTTGCCATAAGCAGCTGTATGATGCTTTAAACCAGCTGCTACATTAACTTCTAAACCATTTTTAAGATAGAAAACTGTAACTTGGTGCCAAGAATAAACAGTAATATTAAGGAAAAACCCCATCACGTTCCCAGCAGGATGTATCCCCTTCCTTTGCACCAGCACTCCGAACAATCAATCATTAGCTTTTGATTTTTGTGATTAAGCCTCGAGTTACAGCGTAAGCAAGCCAAGGGCTCACGACATCCACACACGTACCAAGCGTCCTGGGTCCTCCCAGCCCTGGAAAACAACACAGCGAGACTGCCCAGCTCAAGGCTTGTCCATTCTAACAGGGCCTGATCCCTCCCGGTTTGCTCAAAGGCAGCTTTAATGTCTTCAGCACACTTGGCAAACGCCAGTTGAATCTGTGGAAAGATTGTGCTATTAATCCCTAAACCTCTAGAATTAACATACCCTTTTTGGTGCAATTCCTCCTACAGATCCTTACAGGTCTGCCCTGTATGTAATTTAAATTTGTGAATTAACAACAGTTACTCTTGGCAGAAAAATCTCTCCCTTCTGTCAGGACAACTATCCCCACTAGGGGATAAGGCCAAGACAGCTGTACTTAGAGACCTCAGCAGTATGCATAAGCCTATAACCCTCCTCAGCCTGAGAAGCCAGTTACTGCAATGACATCTTTGGCAAAAATCCCCAAATTCTGCCACGTGCTTCCCCAGAGATGTGGCTGGCTGGGCTGGATTACTCTTCCAAACCCTGGTGCAGAAGTGATCCTCTTCTGTGTTAATTTGAGGTTTCTCTATAGGTTGGAGGTAATTCCAATGGCTTAGCAGGCCTGGATAAACTCACATTGATATGTAAATCTGTAACTACATATGCACTAGAACTGAACCTCTAAGACCTACCAGGGACAATAATCCAGCCCTTAAATGGAGTCTGTATGCTGCACACACAAATGGGGAGACATCTCTACTCTTTTCACTGAGCTTCTGTGCTGGTTTTGGCTAGGATAGTTACATTTCTTCATAGTAGCTTCTATGGTGCTATGTTTAGGATCTGTGATGAAAAGTGTTGATAACACAGGGATGTTTTCCTTATCACTGAGCAGTTCTCACACAGAGTCAAGGCATTTTTGCCTCTCACCCCACCCCACCAGCGAGTGGGCTGGGGGTGCAGAGAGAGCTGGGAGGGGACACAGCTGGGACAGCTGACCCCGACTGACCCAAGGGGTATCCCACACCCCATGACATCATGCTCAGCATATAAAGTGGGGGCAAAGAAGAAGGAAGTGGGGGACGTTCAGAGTGATAGCGTTTGTCTTCCCAAGTCACCGTTACATGGGATGGAGCCCGGCTGTCCTGGAGGTGGCTGAACCCCTGCCTGCAGATGGGAAGTGCTGAATGAATTCCTTCACAGAATCACAGAATGAACTAGGTTGGAAAGGACCTTGAAGATCCCCAAGGAGCCCAAGCATTAACCTAGCACTGACAGTTCCCAACTAGACCATAGCTCTCAGCACTAAGTCGACTCTACTCTTATAAACACCTCCAGGGATGGGGACTCCACCACCTCCCTGGGCAGCCCATTCCTTGTTTTACTTCACTTGTGCGCAGCTTTTGCTTTACCCATTAAACTGTCTTTGCCTCAACCCATGAGTTTCTGCACTTTCACCCTTCTGATTCTTGCCACCATCCCACTGGGGAGGAGTGAGCAAGCAGCTGTGTGGGGCTTAGCTGCTTACTGGGGTTAAACCACAACAGTTTCCATACCTCATGAGGGTGCTGCTCCCTGCTCATCAAAGACAAGAGATCTTCCAACAGGTCGTGTCTCCTACTGAACCCCAGCTGTTTCATATCTGTTTAGAGAAAGGCAGGAGTTAGTAGGTGTGACCAGCACCCTGTGCTCCCAACTCCTGGTAATGTGGTCAGCATAACTAATGCCATTTTGTAAGGCAAACATCCATTATCTATGACCATTATCATGTATTCGTTCACTTTCCCTTCATTATCAGGCCCTGAAGGACCTGTGCACCAAGCACATGAACCAAACAGATTTCTTCTTCCCCTCCCTGGCAGCTTCAAGTTGGCACCAGGCTGACTACCCCTCTCCTTAACAGCCCTCAACGTCCCAGGCACCTGGCCAACCCGTGGGAACAGAGAAGACAACAGCACAGCAAGCACTGTCTACAAAATGAAGCAGTTATAGGTCCTAAGTGGGAATGTGAACCCAAACTGCTGCTGCACAGTGAGACCCATGACCCCCCAGTGGCCAGGGACACTCCCACCATTTGCTTCCTCGTGAGGATTGAGTGGTGACTCATATTCTTTCATATGTTTTTCAAGGCTAGGTTATGATTTTTATGTTGATACAGCAAACCAAGTATTAGGATTTGACCTGATATGCAGAGGGTCCAGGTGATTATAAACCATAAGCTAAGTGGTGCTGTAAAATTCTGTACTACACTGCTTATGAAATTGTACTACACCAATTCCGCCTACAGAAATCCTCTGCTATTCTGATTATAAATTCTGTGCTACACTAATAAAATCCTGTTAAGAAAATAAAGCTTTAATTGTAACTACAAATTAGTGTTGTCATCATTCTACCAAGGATCCCTAAAAGAACCTGTCTGTCCCCTTAGTGTTGGTGACAGTAGGGTATTTTCTGTTGTGGAAGGCAGCAAAGCTTGAGCTGTATGAGCATGTGGACTAGACCCAAATGAGACGTGAACAGCATGTGGCAATAATGGAATAAGATTGTGAGGCTGTAAGAGCACAGGAATATATATAAAATTATAGAGTCTGTTAATGTTTTAAGAGGCTTTAAGGACTTTGTTTAACTGCATATAAGTATCAGTTCTTGAAAAAGCAAGATTTACAGCTTTAGCATTGACTTATCTTGATTGGAGGAGGAAGAAAACTCAAGACAACCCCAGAAACAGTTTGAACCAAAAAAAGAAGACATAATAAGCTGTAACCTAAACCAATTTAAATGAGTTAATCCCAGGTTGTTGGTTAAGGTTCTACTCTCTGGTAAGCATTCAGTTTTCCAAGCTGCTGACATTTAACTATGACAGAGCCACAATCTCTCTGACAGTTTGCGCTACCAGTCCTGCCTTTCTTTAATGCCACAGCCCCTCCACTGCACTAAGGAATAACATCCCTCACGCCAAAGCACCTTACCAGGCTATTCTGAGCACTGGGAAGTTCCCCAGCTACCTCCTGCTTCACATTGCCCCGACTTCTATCAAACAAACCACCTATGTAGCCACGTGGCTATCACCAACCTTCCCAGACTGAAGGGATCATTTCCAAGTGGTTGGCTGCATCCAGCGCTTGAAGGAGGTCCAATATATTTTTAGGAGTTGGATAGAAAGCCTGATGAAGGAAAAGAATAATTTCAATAAACTGTAACTGTTCCATTTTGCCATACCAAAGCTTTGGAAGCTTGCTTACCCTAACATGCACTTACCGAAGTGGACATTTCTTTGTACCATTTCAAGACAACATCAATTTGTTCCATCATACACAACAGTGTAAAGAATTTTGACCTATGGGAGGGAAAAAATGTTCTAATTCAATAATGATTAGGCCAACCAAACCATACAGAAGCACCAGCAAATGATGGTGTTCTGATCAGATTTGTATTGCAGATCAGGGACATTTCACTGTATGACTGCAATACTCCATGTAATTAAAAAAGCAGTAGAATTTTTAATGAGAGAACTTAATGCTGACACTAGGTAATTGGCAGAGTTAATTAAAAGTTAGACCACTTTATTTTAAAATCTGAAAAAAAATGCAATCTCCTTGCCTGATGCCAGAGGTTTGAGGTATCTGAAAGTCTCTCAAATGCAACCTCTGGTTAAGAACCACTTTAAGAAGTGAACTGAATTAACCTTGTTACTTGTGCAAGTTGGCAATGCAAGCCTGGGACCTTGACCCAATGCACTGACTAGGAGAAACGTCCCTGCACCGAGAAATTAATTTCCATTAATTTCCCTTGATTTATTTACAGGTGAAATAAGGTTAATCATATGAATCATTCCACCCCTGAAACTGCATCTTACTTTGATGATAATTATTTTTTTATTAATTTACTGGAGCATCTCTAGTTCCAATGCCCAAACAGGCTTTTCTTCAATCAACATGCTCCAAGTACTTAATTACCTTCAGTGACTGCAGCACTTAATGAACATCATTGGTAAAGATGTTTCAGATGTCATAATTAGTGTCAAATGGTGGAACTACAGGGGAGATTTGGTGTCTAAATACACCTGCTGCACTGCAACCTCTCTCTACACCACCATGCAGAGCGCTAGGTCTGACCTGTATGCCACTTTGGTATGACCTCCTAAGCTGCCATCCTAAGTGGACAACAGGATGGTGGAAAACACAACTGGTTGGTATCATTGTTTGATGGGCATTAAGCTAAACTGATGCTCCGAGACTTTATTTCAGGTTGGGCAAGGCCACAGACTGAAAAGAAATCCTAAGCTATCACTGTTTTTAAGAGGGACTTAATTCCCAAACTGCACATAAAACAACCAGCTGGTGTTCAACACAGCATCGTTCTGCACAATGTTCAAATCCTAGTTTGTGTTCAAATTGACAACAATACATCAACCAGTCAGTGTAAGCCACATTTCACTCACCAGTAGGCATTCAACCGATCCATGTCCAAGAATTTCCAATTGTCTCCCTTCTCCATTGCCTTATTTAACCGATAGGCAAGCTTGATATCCTTAAGATCACAGCACTGCAATAAACCAGTTTGATTTTAAAGCTACCGAATATAACACATAATACATCCCTCCGAGACTCACTTTCACAAAGTTATGAAGAGTAATGAGCTGAGAGCAAACATTTTTAACAGGATGCAATTCAGTGCGGTGACTGCCTAGACATTTTGTTAGCTTTCTAACCTAAACTAACACCTCCTGGTGTGGAGACTGTCTGACTGCTGCAGTGTCACTAGGAGGAGGAGGTAGGGCACAGCAGACAGAGGTGCACGTATCAGAGGCAGGCAAGTTACCAATTTAGGAGGTATCAAGCAAAGAACTGCAGAATTATGGAGGAAAGTTAATGAGGTGATGAACACAGGTGAAAAAGGGAAAGATAGAGAGCTAAACCTTGTATGACAGACTGGAAAACTCACAGGCAGGTCTGAAACAGCTGGAGGGCTCAAAGGAATTGCTGCAAAGAGGTACTTACCACTTGCATAGCAGTGGCAAAAAAGTTGGCTGAAAGGGAGAAAATGGAGACTGTTAGCTTCAAACTTTCAAGGAGACATACAGTAGCTCATTAACCCAGCCTCCCAGAGGACAGATGAGACATGTTCAGTTAGAAAGCTGAATGTGTAGCTCAGTTTGACAATGTAGCAGGGATCTTCACTTTTTATGTAGACTTCGGTGTGTTACAAGTTTTGCTAGCCAGTGGTCTGGAGACAACTATACTGCTGTGCTTCTGGAGACAGCTTTAAGCAGATGATCTGTTTGACTTCAAGCAGTTTTACAAAAGCTACAGTCTCCTGTTTGACGCAAGACAGCATTATTTGTCTAACAGGAAGGCTACAAATAAAGGCAGCCACATCACTCACCTTCTCTATTAACTCCAGTGGAAGAGAACACATGCAACAGAGGCTGGTGCTCAGGCAGGTTACCCACCCACTCCGTACACCCCAGGGCTGCCCCAGAACATACAACTGTCCCTGAAAATGTCTACTTCCAGTTTTGTGAGGCTTCAACCCTGGTTTCTGTAACTGACACTTCAAAGCAGCATGCAGACTGATACTGCCACAGAGAGGCAAAGGAAGCTACAAGAATATAAACTATCCTGCTCAGCAGCCAATTTCATTTTTGTAGTGAGAATACTGGATAGGTGGCTTTTGTTTTCTGAAGGATGTTCTCTGAATAGTACTGGATGTTATTAGAGACTAAAACAATGGCTGGCTGTAGGTAGCAAAATGGTGGGAAGAACTGTTAAGACAATCTACTTAAAACTATTAGGTACAATACACCTGCCTTTCCCTTGCAAGATGTAATAAATCAGATACTTTCAAGTTGGAGAAGACAGTTTTGTGTTATCTGGGTGTTCAATATACAATTCTGGCAGCAGCTTACAGCAGAGCATATACAAAGGAGAACATAAAGACACATAGCAAGGCAGAAACAAACAAAAAAGGTGTACAACATTCCCAGGCTTCTTTTCAAGGACAAGAGAAGAACTGCTGGTAGGATAACCCAATATGCTACTCCAACATGATTTCATAATCTATCTAAAAGCGTATCAACTCCTCACTGGTTTCCTGAAGCATGCACTGTAATGGCTTCTTCATCCTATCCTATATAGAACTGTCAGCTGCTGAAGAGTAGCATCTGACACTTTGTTAACACTCATCTTCAGACTGAAGCTGTGTCTACTTCTGTATGTACAGAAAGGCTGTAAACACTCTAGGGCAACGTTGTGTACATTGAATCAGAATCACATAATCATCAAGGTTGGAAAAGACCTTGAAGATCATCTAGTCCAACCATTAATGTAACACTGACAGTTCCCAACAACCCAGATCCCTCAGCGCTGGGTCAACCCGACTCTTAAACCCCTCTAGGGACAGGGACTCCACCACTGCCCTGGACAGCCCGTTACAGACAGCAGAAAAAGGCAGTGAGACATGGGATGTTCAGAATCTACCCCTTCCACAGACCCAAGCTTCACTTTTGCATGAAGTTTTATTTCATGCAATTTTTTGAAGAGGATTAGGAAGAACTACAATAGGAACTCACACCACACTGCAACAAAAAACTGCTGTTCACCAGATGTGTATCATTTCATGAACCTGCTAGCAGACATTCCTCCTTACACTAGCCTTGTAAGTAACTTCATGGTTTTTTATTGCAGGTGGCTCAAACGCTTATTCACACGGGCCACACTGCTACTCCACACAGAAGCCAGCGCACCAACGCACAGAACAACCTCCTGGCACTTGAATTTGTCCTTCTTTGTCTCCAAAAAGTATCCAAAGCGACTGATATAAGCTGCATGCATTCCTCCTAGCTGGGTAGAAGTACCTGAAGTTCATAGGTACCTTTTCACCTAAGCTTAATCAATGCAGATTGTCAGATATATTGAAGTCCATACCATCATCAGGGTCCTGGGCCGTGAAACTCCTCTTTTCAACATCATCTAGCACTTCAGAGATGATGCCTGATGGGTAATGATCAACTGTGGAGCAAACACAAGCAACATCACACCTCAGTTGTGCTAAGCACTTCATTAGCAAAGTGTCAGCCTGCAAATTTAATATGGAAATGGAACTAAGCAATGTGATTTCAGACAAGTGTCATGATTCTCTTATCTGTGCCCCTACTTGTGTTGCTCCACATCAGTTGCAATTTTATTTGCTCTAAAATCTGCACTCTTGCCAGATTTCCACAGCACGACAAGGGCAGATTTGGAAAGATAAAAGTACTTTCTAGCAAAGAATCCACCAGGCCTGGAAGTTAGTCCTTAAGAAGGCTGCACTGTGAAAAGCGAGGCATTTCATAAACAATTAAACAATTTAAAATAGTAATTTTAAAAAAATTAAAAAGGGAAAAAAAAAAACAACAACCCAACAACCAAACCCAGAAAAGTCTCCAGAGCAGTTCCTCCACATTTGTTAAAACACAAGGACTGCAGCTATGACTACTGTGTTTCCATGCCCAGAGATTTCTGACTGAAGGATCTCCAACTATGGGGCTCCTGTCTTCTAACAAAGCTGTTTCAAGACAGCTCCAATGCAGAGAACTGTTGCAGAAAAACAGAATTCCTGTGCAATTTCTTCCCTGTGAGTAGCACAGTGTATGAAATCACAGGTACTGTAGTCAGATCTAGCCTCCACAGAGGCTGAGTACCATCTGCTCTTTAGTTTTATCAACCTGTGGACACAAATAGAAAGGAAATGGGTTTTCTTCCCAGTTCTGCCCATTCTCAAAACACAAGGGCTCTTCCCTCCTTGTAAGAGGTTATGATCCTCTGTAGCTTTTTCTGCACCCAAGCAGAATCAGATTGTGCAGGTAACATTAGGATTGCACACATAAGAAGCTGTCTTTTAACCCATAAATCAACTGCCTTCACTCAATCACATCTGGAAAGCATTTAAAGCAGCTGCTAAACAGGCCACATCCCTGGACAAGTTGATATTGCACGTACCGTCTTTATAAAAGATAGAGAGAAGATGATCATACGTTGCAAGGCTAGGCTCTGAAAAGCAAAAACATTGAAGTTACTTCAACATTCTTGGCTGAGCTGTATGCCTGAGCTCTAATTTACAGTCTCTAGCCCTTCCAGTCAGGCAGCATGAACAAATTTACTCTCCTATCTCTCTCCATCCATCCTAATGCTTGACCAGACCTCACATACAACTGGGAGAGATAATATCTGAGGGTGGACCACCAGCTGAAGCACCATATTGCTAAGGAGCAAACAGCCAAGCTTCCCCACTCTAAATTAAAAGCAAAACTATTTCATAACTAGTTTTCCATTCTACTCATGAACCTATCTTTAGTATATCAGCAAGCATGTTACTAGGGCAAAGCACACTCTGCTTTGACATCAAGACATCAAGACACTCTGCTTTGACATCAAGACATCAAATCAGCTATGCCCACATTCCCTGGTTTTGCAGTGTTTATTTGACATCAAAAAACATCATCTAGATCAAAAGGTTTTTTTTCCTGTAAAGATGTAGATATATAGACCTGAACTGGATTGGGTGGCTTGTGAAGATCCTCTTGATCTGTGGGAAGCAAACAGACTCAGCTGACTGCTGCAAATATATGTTCGTATTATTCACTATGTCTACAGCAGTACTACAATAAGGACCAGTTGAGAAAGAGCCTATGAGCCAGGACGCACTCCCCCACTGCATACACACCCCTGGCCTTGAGTAGGTACTACAGGTAAACATGTAATGCTCCTAGCCCAAAAGACTACAGCATCAAAATGCTTCATTATTTAACCTAAGGGGCTAAGTGCACCCAGTATATTGTCATTAGTAATCAGCACTGAACAAAGACTAAAGATGATGATTCAATTTGAAATCCACAAGCACTGCTTGCTCAGTGGCCACAGCTCAGTATTTACACATCTTTATTTCTCAGTTCTCTTGCAAATGCAAATTCCCTGCAACTAGGAATCACTGTGTTGTTTGCTACTGAACTCTTAACTATACTATTCTGGAGGTGGCACAGGAATATAATAACCATTCTGATTCTCTTACCTATATCAAGTGCTTCCATTTCCTTTATTGCCAATAGCGACATACTTTTTCCTATACCACCACATCTTCTCAGAGTCTTCAGTAAAGCATTAAAAGTTAGCAGATTTGGTTGCACTTCCTGCTGAGCCATGTGATTCAGGAAGACCTTAAACAAAATCCCCAAATCCTTAGTGCTTCACGTGTTACAGATCACAGTTCAGCTTTCAAATAGGTATATATGCACTTCCTCAATCTAATCCTTCTCACCTCCTTCAAGAGAAGGACTCTGTCTCAATTGACCTTGTATTAAGGGAGCACCATCTAATTTTTAATTAATTTGAACAAAAAAACAAGACTATAACATTACATCAGATTAGATCTTGGAGAATTGTGTCTAGAACATCAAGGAAATCTTAAAATTCACATACTAGTCTTCCTTACTGATGTTACGTTATTAAAGCTGGAGCCTCTAATGTTGCTCCTCAAAAATCCATTTCTACCACACAATCATGAATTACAATTCAAAGAGTTTTTATCTAAAATAGGGTTTTTTTATCTCTGAGCACAATTTCCCAATTATTTTCTGTCTGGGTAGTTCTTGGCTCAGGTAGGTTGTCACTAGGCAAACCATCCTGCAAGGGCAAGGCTGGATTTAGTACAATTTCCACTTCTCAGTAGCCAGTTTGTATGTTTAAACTAGTGTAATTCCTTTGCAGTATCTTCATATAAAGCTCTTTGTTTTAGTCTAACAACTGCAAAATTCTACTGATAAAGCAGACCCAGCCCCTACACTCTTACCCCTTCCCCACCTTTTCTCCTCTACCTCCTTACCTTGGCTAACTCCCATCTTTCTACGAACCTCTCCTTTAGATATGGGACTGCTGTAATCAGTGCGTTGAAGGTGTGCACATCAGCTGGAAAAGGTAAGATAATTAATTTTAACTGACAATTATATTCTACAAAAAACAATTTGTTCTAACATGGCTCAGTTTTTGGCAAAGTCTCATGCAAACCTGTTTCCAGTGAGCCAGCCACATGCCAGCTGCACTGAAATAAACAGTTTGCATTCAGCTCCCATGATCTAGCTGAGGTCCGTACCCCTGCGCCAATCATCACCGCCATGAAACAAATATTCGTGCACCAGACAATGGGTATGTTACTTAAAAGACCAAAAATGGAAAACCAGGAGACACTTACCCTTGTGTCTTTCATTCAGCAAATCTATGTACATGTCATAAGCTTTAGCAGAAGCCCCGTGCTGCAAAAAAACAAAAAACCAACAAAAATAAACAATCTCTATGACCGTGAGATTTCACAAGTTGAAAAAAGTCCTCCCAGCACTGAGTGATAATTTTACCTTCACCATCCCACGGATCATTGTGCAATAGGAGTGTGCATTCCTCTCTGGCATTATCTTAAATATCCTTTCAGCATTGTTGTTCTCCCTAGAATCAATGAACAAGCCGAATGTTAAAGAACTCCATAAAAGATACCTTTAGGAAAAGGATTCAACATGCAGAACAAAATAATGGGCTGTACTCCCAAGAGCTGACATTCAAATATATTACTTATGATACTCTGAGCAATTCAACAATCACTTACTGTATTTCCATCATCACTTTAAAAGATCAGCGAACACAGATGTACTTAACAAGTAACACACCTGCAAGTTCAGGCTGCTAAAAAGTCTTGAAGTCTGTTTTACAATGCACTGAATACACAAATAATGGCAACATCTCCTATACCTCCATCTAGAGCCAAATGACTGTAAACTTCTTCGGGATTGTTTCTTCGGAGCCTTCTGCTCTGAAGCATTCACCTGGAGAGATTGTTTCAGAAATAAGTTTCTCAAAATTATGATTAAACATCAAATGACACAATTTGGTAACAACACAGAAAGTCAGCAGCAATTTATATTCTACCAAAGGTGTTTTTTAATGGGTTACATTAAAATAATTTCTATTATAATGTTTAGGAACTAGATTAAAAATGCTGTTTATGTTACTAGACATAATAACAAAGTAAATTATATGTATTTGGGGAGCTGCTGGGAATCATTAGATTCTGCAGATACTCCACAAACCCATTTCTCCCTCAACAGTGTTCCCAGGGACAGGTATTGTGCAACATATCTACTATTGTGACCTGATACTTTGATGTCACACAAGGATTCCTCAACTTCATTGAAATCTAGTTAATATGGTCCAGACTGGAAGAAAATTAATGAGCTGATCTACACTAGAGGTACTAGAGGGCTGCTTTGCAGGCAACTACAAAACAAGGCTGTCAGTGAGAAACAGTTATTTAATTGTAGCTCAGCAGAACTAAGCCAAGACAGGGTTCCAGATACTAAGTTCAGCTTTATGGAAACTGCTTTTGCTACCAAGTCACACACAGAATTTTTTTAACTGCCATATCCCTTGGGAATGTTGACTACATCTGACCCACCTCACACCATTATCTCAGGCAGGTTGTCACAGTACAAAAATCTTTACATCACCTTGATACATTCCCGTTAAGTATGAAAGAAGGAAAGAAGTACAGATCAATAAGTTTTTCATACCCCTGGTTCTTCCAAATCCTCTTTTTTTTCTTCATTTTCTGGAGTAGATTCTCCATCTCCGTAGAAGCATAACAAATCTAAAAGGCTGTTTGTGGTCTCCAGAGATACAGGGGTACCTACAGAAAATGAGGATGTACAACTGTTGTAGAGAAAGTAAAGAACACACCATTCCACAGCTGTATCAGAAAACTTTCAAACACCCAGTTATGCCACGTTGTTCTCTTTCGACATAAAGGCATTCTTCAGCAAGTCTGTAAAACCTGGGTGTGATGTTAATACTTCCACAAACTCATTCAGAGCAGGCGTCAATTTTAACACTGAACTAGAGTATCTGTTTTTCTATTGAAGCCAGTGAAAGGGTAGAGTTTTCCTGACCAAGTGGGAGAGGGAAGTGGCAGCTGGCAGCCAAAACTGTGAAGCAGCACAAGCCCAACACAAGATCTGAAATTTCTAGTGCTTTTCATAACTACTCCTAGGATACACCTTGTTGTGAAGACCATTTTGTGTGTTTCACTTTCTATGAAACAGATTTAAAACCAAAAAAAGAGCTATCTGATGTAATCCTCTCCTTTCCATCTTGTAGTGGATATGCAGTGTCACCCCTCCCAGTCAGTTTTCCTCTTTCAGAGGCTGTGGCAGTTAGTTTTCTATTGCTTCCTTCTCATTCACCCATGACAGAGATGAGGTCCAAATTAAGGCAGAACTGAGAAAGACTCATTTATCAAGGCCATGTTCACAGATGGTGCACTCAACTCCTGTGCTATACCAGTCCAACACACAGCAAAGTGCTCAGCACAGACATAGCTTATACCAAACAATACGCTACTGCACGAGGGCCTTTGCAGGCAGAATGGTATCGCTCAGTCACACAGCATCTGCCCTCAACAGGCCCTACTCTCCTGTATCACTGACTCTTCAGCTTTGGAAGAGAAGAAAAAAAAAACTCAACACTTTATCATCTGCTTCTCGATCAAGAAAACATTTGTTTTCTGTATCACCAAACTGACATGTCAGACAAGCAGTGGGTAAGGAGAGCTCAATAATACTGAAGAATCACTTCACCAGACCAACGGTAGTTGCGAAAAGCAGCAAAGTAATTGTGAAATTGTCTTCATAGCCTGCGCCAGCTACTAAAATATTTTGGCAACAATTTAAGGTGAGCTCCACCACAAAATCTGTCAGGTAGCCACATACCTGCTTGTACAAGCTGATCAAACAGGTCCACAGAATCTTTCACTCTTCTGAGGTGGATACGCTCTTTCAGAGCTTCCTCACTCAATCCTTCAATTTGAGGCGTAAGAATCTCAGGCATCAAGCACTAAAAGCAGAGTGCACATTAGACATGAAGTCAAGCCTTCCCTGAACCACTGCTCAAACACTAACCAAATATGCTTACTCTCCACCCAGTACACTGCTTTGGTAATCTAATCCTCCCAACCTAACCACAACAGTCCATTTAGTGATGGACCACACATCCTGACCTCCCATTTTCATTTAAATCAACACCTAACCAACAGTTCTTTTCTTACTTTTATCTAAAGAATCTGATATGACATTGAACTCCTAAGGAAAAACATTAATTTCAGAAACATAATGGAAACACAGTACTGCTTTCATAGCCTTCCACAAAACAGTTAATAAAATTATCCTTTTATTTTAGTTTTGGGCCAGTCTGACAATTGATTTCAATACCTGAAAAAGCATAAAATACAATGAAAATTAAAAGCAAAAAGCTTACTGGTACATTGGGCTCTGCAAAAGTCTTGTCAAAATACTGAGGAAATTGCTTAATAATGTATTTTGCAGCATTTTTCCCAGACTCCTTCGACAACGAATACAGACGCTGCATAGGAATGAGAAAGAACAAGATGAAGAAACGTACAATTAAAAGGCTGAGAGCAAGAACAACATTTCCCATTGCATTGAGTGTTCTGATGGGATCAAATTAAACTTATGCTTCCTTTTCAACTCTTTAGTAGAAACACAGGCATGAGACAACATTCCAGATAAGCATTCCAGTATAATGTCTACTCTTTAAATTTTCTGTTACTCAAAGGACAAAGTTCTGTACCAGGCACATCTGAAATGCTGCACTAGCACCTCAAGCTCAAAAGCATCTCTCCTTAGTTACAGCACTCAGATGTTTCTCTCCCTGTTTGTTGTTTCCAAGAACATCACCCAAATCCCCTTCACATCTTTTCCTCAGGTTCTAAAGTCAGACTCTCCTTTGCCGTTTCTTTTAAAACTCTTCACATTTGACAGATGCTTTCAGCCTTCTCACCAGTTTCACCTCTGTTATGCAGAACTCAAGTTCTCTCGTAGCTGTATCACTGATCTGCCATGACATATCTCATCTCTCAGTCTTCTCTTGCTAGAGATAACATGAGGGGAAGATTATCTTCCTTCTACCTTTCTATTATCATCTCAACACTACCATTTCCACAAACAGAAGTTACCAAATAGCTGCTCTGTGATAAAACTAAAATTCCTGGAGCTTGGCCAGGACAGTTAACTGATAACACGTAGTCTATATAGTAACACACGCATAAGCAACCTTATGTGTTTTAATTAATTTCACTCAATTTAATTCATTCAATACAAATTCATCTAAACTGTAAGCACAATATCTCAACACTTCTGATACCACATATCCACAGTCTATATTCAAGGTATCTAAACAGTTTTAACAGGTTGAATGCTTCACCTAAAGAATTACTGTTGAGAGTTATTTAACATACTAAGAGAATGGAGAAACAGAACAATTCAGCAGGTAAACCACTGACTTGCAGGAATGTTAAAAGAGCTGTGTCAGCTGGAATGTCTCTACAGGGACAAGAAGAAGAGGTAAGTTTGTGTGTGCAGGGTGGATTTGTCCAGAGAAATGCTACAGTCATTACACACTCAAAAATACACAGAGGAGAAAATTCTGAATTGAATTCTCCAATTAGATAAGAGTTTTCATAGCCTAGATTAACAGAGGGAAGGGGTAAGCTATCGAGGATTGAAAAGAAAATACTTACAGCACTGGCAGCATTTCTTGGCATAAGGAAAGGGTCATCCTGGAACATATAATGAGCAGCAGTAGGATCCTGTAGAAAGGAGAACCTGGACTGAAACGTTTATAGTTACATACACAGGCATGCTGTAGGAATATCACACTGCCTCATGGAATTCATGGCACAATGAACACTTCCATCATAACCACTACCTGATGACCATTTTACAAGAGTTCTTCTTGTTCAAAAGGGTTTAGCCTGTTTGGAAATAGTTTAAAAACTATTTCCATTATACACACACGTGCAGGCTAACATGTGACAAGAGGGTCCCCACAATAACACAGCAAGCAATTAAGTGCCCTGCAAAGCAAGTAGGACCCCAACTGTAACAGTCTGGGTGGAGCTGAAGGAATTAGCAGGATCAGATTCAACTTCCAGAATTCAGGAGTGACGGGATTAAAGAATGGCATCACAGCACTTATTGTTGTGGCCTAGCAAGAGTAGACACTCACTGCTCTTTGCAGGGCTTGCTTTCTGGACTGGGACTGGGAAGAGGCAGTCTCGATTGGGAAGCGGAATTGGTAAAGGAACTTGCTCCCGATATTAGCAAAAGCCTTATCAGAGTATTACAGCTTTCACTGGTAATTGCAGTTCTTGACACTAGAATGAGGCTTCAAGGACACACGAAAATGTGTTGAGCAAAAGTGAAAACCTCGTAAAGAAATGGTTGTAAAAGTCCCATCTTTCATTTATGGCCAAAAGAGAAGTAAGAGTCTCCAGAGTGCAAGGCTACTGTGTGAGACAGAAAACTCGACCCATTTCCATGACAGAACTACTTACCCTGTTCACGGTAGAAGCCAATGTTTGAAGAACCGCTAGCTTATCCCTAAACATAAAGGAGCTTTGATTAATACTCAGGTGCAGACTTCGAATGTTATGCATTACATATATGCAGAACAAGTGCAAGATTATCCTGGCTCATCAGGATTTTCAGTTCTGTAAAATAATGGTTTTGCTGCACTTAGAAAATACCACTTTTTGCAAAGTGAGGGAAAATTCAACTGCAAAAATGGACTCAGTTCTGGAACAACCACAGGAAAAAGAAAAGACTTTGAAGAAAATCAGAAAAACATGTGTTTCCTGCTACCACTCTTGCCTTTATTATACATTATCAAAGAAAGAACATAGGGAAGGGACACAGAAGGAATTCCCTGGAATGTTCTTCTCGAAGCCCCCCATCTCTGAGGGATGGATGACAGTCCCCCTCCACAACACATCTTGGGAGGAAAAAACAAAACAAAACAAGATTTCTCAGGATTCCTGTACCTGTGGATCCTTAAGAGTTTGGTTGCGTTTCAAGCAAACAACGAAAGGCCACTGAAAGTGTTTAGGTGAAGGTGGTTTTATTTTAGATTTACATACAGACACCATCTGACTATAAACTTACAGTTTTGCTGTACAGTCATCTTAAGTGCTTCCAACAAAATAGCTTTTGTTCAGCTGCATAATTTCTAAACAGGATTTATTCAGCCAGCTAACAATGGCCAAGTTTATTTTGCTGAAACACACCCACATGCAGACAGCCAAATTAACTTGATTTTACAGATTTCTAGTGAATGTGATCTTTTATAAAAAACCAAGAACTATGCTTAAAAATGCAGTCCTTACAACTGTGTACATACTCTGCACAGACAGTAAGAGTCAAGAATAATCCCAAAGATCCAAGTCAGCAGGAAAGCCACAAGTGGGACATTAAACCCAGGAATACAGCAACCTGTATTTTCCTTTTCAACTTTGGTGGACAGACTACATTTAGCTGTCTAACAATGATTGTATTCCACGTTGAGAAGTATTTCAACATTAAACACTCACCAGGTCTTCCTTCGGGGAAGCACAATTTCTTCTCGAGTAACTATGAGAAATGATATTAAAACTGTTATTAGAAACAGATGCTCAAAGAAAATCCCGACCTCGTGAAAATTGATGATTTCAGCTGATTCAGCTAAAAGTACCACAGCAAAGATTTAAAAAACAGTCTGACATAGGCCACAATTTACTGGAATGTAAAAGAAAAGGCTGGCAGGGAGCTTAAGTGTTTTGTGTCAAGAAAGGATGGGGGCCTGTGGCAAATAAACGTCAAAGAGTTTGTACCCATTTACCCATACAAGCTTCTTCAATGATCCTTATCCTGTACCTTCTTGCTTCAGCCCCAACCTTTCCCAGTCCATTGATTTCCCACTCTTAGTCCCCCAGTTTGAAGTTTGCTGTCTCTGCCCGTTTAGCTTCTTCAGCTCAGTTTGCCTGAATACTGCAGCCAAGTGCCCTCTCAAGTTCCTGCTTCAACAGCCTGTCACCAACTGTTCAGACAACACAGATCAATCTGCCCAGCTTTCCCAAAGAGCAAAAACTACAATACCAAAAGAAGAAGCTAGAGGTTGTTAGTAAAGCATGTTAGCAAATTCATTCACAGACAAGCGCATGGGACATCCCAATTACAACCCCCAGAGCCAGGGTGTGCAGAGGCACTTTTCCCACTGCCTCTGTGTTGGCGCTTCCACAAGCTGTTACTGACTGGCAGGAACTTACTCCCTCTTGCAGCACAGCTCCAAGCATCCCAGCTTACTGGTCTCACAAAACTCATAGCAGAAATATGGTAAGAAGTATAGAGAAGCAAGAACGTGAAAGAAACTGTGAAGATCAAGGTGGAAAACTCCTTATTTTTATTTTATAGTTTATTCCATGTCAAAGAGCAACTGGACAGCTCACAGAACTGGACAGCTCTCAGAGCACAGAACTGCTTGGTGGTGAGGGTAGTCAAGTTAAGCCAGGAAATCTCTGCACAATGAAGACAGGGAAAAGAAAAATCCAAGAAGGGGAAGGAGAGCATTCATGTCTTCTTCATCTCCCGACACATTATGTGGTTTGAAGATTAAAAAAAAACCTATGCAAAATAGTAATTAAGACATCATACCTTCTGAATTCTCCACAGTCTTCTCTAAAGCTGTACTACTAGAACAGCACCTATAAACGAATCAGAATTTTGAATTTATGTTAGTCACATTAATATAACAAAAGGAGATTAACGAAATTCTGTACTACAGGTCAGAATTAATTAAAATATTAGAGCGGAAAAGTTAACACAAAATGTTCACTTCAAGGGGCAATAAGTTATACACAGAAAATCATTACATAAAATTTGTAATTTATTATTTTCAGGGATATCATGGCTTTAAAGTAGTTTTCATTAATTACTGCATCTTAGAAAGAAAATCCTGAACATAAATCAGAGAAGACATTTTATACTTTAGAGGCAGGATCTAGCTGAAAGCAGTACCTTCAAAAAATATTGTAGACCTGAGTAGTGTTTACTCAAGCAGAAGACCCTGAATTGGGATGCACGGAAATCGGACCTGTTTCATTCCAGATGCCCAGTCTCTTCAGAGCTGCAGACAGCACATTCACATAACCACAGCTGCAGAAGGCACATCCACATGAACTTGCCTCTGCTGCGTATTGCAAAGCAGCTGGTTTGTGCTCAGTTCAGTCACAGGACACTGCTCCAAGTCTTACAGCTGCTGACATTTTATTGATCTTAACACAAATTAAAGCTTACATTAAAAAACTTTTACCTTTTTTGCTCATGAAGCAATCTAACACCTAAGCCTTACTGTAACTCTGGCATTCGCATGTGCTTCCACACTGACCTTGACCCTGAGGGAGATGCTGTTCATGTGCATTCATATCTCTGTGCTTTATAGCGATATTGCATAATTCTAGCTGTTCCTATATGTCACATAAAATTATGAAATATGATTTTAACATCTCAGATGCGAGTCATATTTTGCCTATAGACTCTCCAGTGGAGGAGGGACTTTTCCACTTCATTCACACCCTGAAAACAACCTCTCCCCTCCGTGTGCTTTTTCGTGAGATTCAGCTCTACGAATCACTTAACACCTCAAATTCACGCCTGGGGCAACTCCAAGACGCAAAGCCCTTGCCAAAAGTAGGGAAAAGCCCCAGAAGAGGCGCTCCCCCTCCGCAGGCCGCGCCGCGCCACCCCGGCCCTGCCCGCCTCAGCCTCCAGGCCGGCGGCCCGAGACAGCAGCGCGCATGCGCCG